TCTCCTGAGTGCTGGGATTAAAGTCGTGCAGCACTATGCCCAGCTCCCCCCATCCCTACCCTATGCTGGCTTTGAACCCACTCTGTAGCTGTGATGGTTACTCTTGTCAGCTTGCCTGAATTTAGAATCCCGTAGGAGACACAATTCTGGGTGTCTGTCTGTGAGGATCTTTCTTGTGAGGAATAACTGAGGTGGGAAGACTCACCCTGAGTGTAGATGGCACCATCCTTTGAGCTGGGGGAAAGCAGAAAGCCAGATGAGAAACAGCACCCCCACTTTCTGCTTCATTATCCTCTGAGATCTGAGGCATCCCAGCCACATGCTCCAGCTGTCGTGAACTCAGCCACACTTTCTCTATCATGATGGATGGTGGTGCCCTCTCAAATCATGAAACAAAACAAACCCTTCTTTTAAGCTGCACCCGTCAGGCAATTTTGTCATAATACTGAGAAAATTAAGTAACACAGAAACCTAAAGGGACCTTAGAGTCCCAGCAGTCCTTCTGTCCCATTTCTAGTGATATTACACCTGGCCTCAGGAATGAGGCCATAAGTGAGGATGATGCATTGCCTCGGGGCTCTGTCTACATTCTGCCAGCTGTGTGACACCAGCAGCCTCTACACCAACTTTGTTATAAACACAGAGAATTTAGGCTCTGCGCCATAGTTCCTGAATCTTGTTGAGATGTCCAGGCGACTCCAGTGCATAGCTAAGTCTCTGGCCTACGGATCTTCTAGACATAGCCCCAGGGCTGTGCATTCTACTTCAGGTGTCTGCTCTGACGAGGAGACTGAACACGGAGCCAGCATTCAGTCCTTGCTCCCTTTCTTTTCAACAGATAATCACTTCCTGTGAGATTTCACTCATCTCCAAGGTTTCAAAGATCCCATAACACTTCCCAAACCTATTTGTCAAGTTCAGACAACTCTCGATTACAGACTTGACTGCTTGTCCTCCTATCAGGACACAGGGACTCCATTCTGCTGCTCGTACAGTTCTGAATTCTCCGTCTATGTTTTGCTCAGTTGTTCTGGAATTACAAGCACACACCATCATGCCTGGATTTCATGTAGATACTCTGGATCCAAATTCAAGTGTTCATAATTGTACAGAACTCATTATATTCGTTGAGTCTCCTCCCCAGTCTTCCCTTCCTTTACAAAAGTCTGTCTGGATATAAAACCTCTGAAAAGAATGATGTCTCACAGGAAGTCTCTTCCAGCTTGGGCTTTACACCCACATGAGGCTGGACTTCAGCTGACCACAGAACCCACAGATATGGCCCTGGGAAAAACCAGTCCTTTCCCTATAGAGGAAAGATGCAGAGGGAACTTGTAATAAATTCCCCTTTTTAACAGGATCTCTGTTTCCACTTCCTCTCCTGTAAGCCTAATCTTGCCAATAAAAGAAGAAGGAGATTGGATTCAGAAATAAAATTTGACTTACATAAAATTTACATGCCATAATTCTTTGTATTTCCTCTCAACAATGTACCCTGGTTGACAGCCCAACCTCCTGACATATTTTAGATCCGTTTACTTGCCATTTCTCTTTGATTTATGTTTAGAGAGAGAAAATCTAGATTGACATACCTCAAGGCAAACTAGATATATTGTTGGGCCAACCCTATAGGTGACTTTAAAAATTGCCAGGGCCAGTTCCCAAAAGCGAGAGACAACACACCTGAAGAAGACAGACGTTTTCACAAGGTCATGGACTAGGAACCTACTTTTATCTGCGTCCTTCACATAATGTTCTTATTTTAAGCCTCTCTCTAAAGAAAAAGAAGAAACTCTTAAACACCTCTTTCTTCATGGGTAACTCATGGATTTACCCATCCCACCCTTCTACACACCAAACTGGTCTTGAATTGAACTAATACTCATACCTCTGCCTCCTGAGAACTGAGAATACAATTATGGGCTACCATGCTTGCTCTTCATAGACACACACACACACACACACACACACACACACACACACACGAGAAAGAAAGAGAGAGGTAGACAGACAGACAGACAGATATTGATTTAGACACATACATAGCCAGGACTGGAAGTATATAGTTAAGGCTGACTTTAACCCTCTTGCCTCCAACTCTCAAGTCTTGGAATTGCAGGAGAGCACAACCATGCCCAGAAAAGACATATATTCTTCATCAGAAAAGTGAAACTGGACTATTTCTAACTCACTCTGGGGAGTGCAGACTGGTTTAACAGAGACTCACTACTGGACAATGGGTAAAGAGTGAGAAACTTTGGAGCACTCAGTTCTAGATGAGATGTCTTCATCTAATCCTCCCCTCAAGGCTCAGGGAACAATGCAGAAGAGGAAGTGGAAAGATTTTAAGAACCAGAGTGGTGGGTGACTCCAAGGAGACAGTGTCTTCCAGACACAACAGGTCTGATGCACGTATGAACTCACAGACTGTGGCAGCACACAAAGACCCGCACAGGCTCAAGTCATGCAGAAATCTCATCACTCAAGGGGAAAGTGGACACCAAGTCCTACCCCTTGTGAAGAAGCTGTTTGCAACTGACACCTTCTGAGAAAGGAAAAATCAACTTTCTTCTGTGCAGGGTCACTGGGTATATCGACGGCATCCATGACAGCCCCTTGCCCAGGAGTAGTTGGCCCACGTAAAACAGACTCCATGTTTTTTTTTTTTTTGGGGGGGGGGGATGTGAACCTTTTGCTTTGTTTGGCATTTTTTGTCTTATTATTTGTTTTGATTTTCTTCTGTTTTAGAAGGAGAACATGATGTTAAGTGTTTAGTGAAGTGGAGAGGATCTAGGAGTCTGGGGGGAGGAAAACATGATCAAAATATGTTGTATGAAAAGTCAGGTCTGGTGTCTTATTCCTTTAATCCCTGTGCTAGCGAGACAGACACAGGAGGAACTGTATGAGCTAGAGACCAGCCTGTCTACATACACAGTCAGAAATACATAGAGAGACCCTGTCTCAACTCCCCCCTACAAATATATACATATAATGAAAAATTAATAAAAATGAAAACAAATGACAAAAACAAGGACTGGCTTAGTGGGATATGGGGAAATATCTTACATCTATCATTTACTGTTTGTTCATTCTTGTTGTAATTTATGTTCTTTGTCTCTTCAAAGAACTCTTGTCTTTTGATTCCTTGTCTGAGTTTTCTGTACTCATCCATCAGCTTGAATTTTAGTGTGTGAGATTTCTTCTTTAAAAAAATATATTTATTCAATTTGTGAGCATGTGTGATTGCATGTTTCTGTGAGTGTATGTGTGTGTGTGCGTGTGTGCACGACTGTGTGTGTCCCTGTGCACATGATACGATACCTGTATGGCAGTCAAAGGACCATTTGGAGGATCAATTCTCTCCTTTCACTTTTTTAGAAATCGAGATTGAACTCATTTTTTTTCCAGGCTTGATGTAGAAGGAGCTGCGGCCTGGCTCCCAGTTAGCTTTACCTGAAATAACAACACACAAATTGTATTCTTTTAATTACTGCTTGGCCCATTAGCTCTAGCCTCTTACTGGCTAACTCTCACATCTTGATTAATCCATTTTTTAAAAATATTTATTTTTACTTATTATGTATACAATATTCTGTCTGTGTGTTTGCCTGCAGGCCAGAAGAGGGCACCAGACCTCATTACAGATGGTTGTGAGCCACCATGTGGTTGCTGGGAATTGAACTCAGAACCTTTGGAAAAGCAGGCAATGCTCTTAACCACTGAGCCATCTCTCCAGCCCCGATTAATCCATTTCTATTAATGAGTGTAGCACCACGAGGTAGTGGCTTACCAGGAAGGATCTTAGCCTGCATCCATCTTGGAGAGGAGAGCTATAGTGTCTGCCCATTGCCTTCTTCCAGCATTCTGTTCAGTCTACTCTGCCTATCTAATTTTCTGTCCTATCAAAGGACAAGACAGTTTCTATTAACCAATGAAAGTAACACATAGACAGATGACTCTCCTACATCACGGTGGTGGTGGTACATGCCTTTAATCCCAGCAGTAGAGAGGAATATAAAATGGAATATAAGAGGGGAGGCGATAGGTCTCAGACTCAGTCTCATTCTGAGGATTTGTGGAGGCAGGCTTGCTATTTTGGTCTGAGACAGAGGTAAGAGTCAGTGGTTGGTTGCTTTGCTTTTCTGATCTTCACGCTGGATCCCAATATATGTTTCTGGGTTTTTATTATTATACCACATATGGGGGCTCTTCTTATTCAAACCATCACATGGTCAATATTTTACTTTTTTACTATGTAAATGTAACCTACACAAAATCTTGCTGAGAATCTATTTTGCAAAGCCATATAGAGATCCTAAATCTAAAACACAGAATTTCTGCCTGTCGCAGCTCCTAGATAGGACCCAGGGAGACACTGATAAACAGCACTAGGTACAGGAGGATGGAAGTAGCAGTAAGGTCCCTGACCTCAGGTTTTAACTTTCAGAGTGGGGAAGCCAAGAGTTGGGAATTTCCATCAGCCCTGCTTTTCATTTCCCCAGTTCACTTCCTTGGTCAGCTGCCTGGTTCTTGTGCCTTAAACAAGTATTCTTTCTCCCATTGTATGCTTCTGGATAAAGCCAATCAGAGTCACTGCGGTCTCTTCCCACATACTCAAAGTGCTCTAAAATCCACAGAGAGGACCGAGGGCTCACTTTCTCCAGGCCTTTGAAATACCAAGAATGGGAACCCCAGCTCCCCAAGGCTTCCTCCTGCTGCTCTTGGTTGCACTGACTCCAACTCTGGCCCAAACCGGTGAGTACAGGAAATGGCCTCTGATGGGAGGAGTGCTAGGAAGCCCAGAGTGAGCAGAGGAGTGCAGCACCAGGGAAACATGGTCCTCCCTGCTCTGGTGTCTGGTGATCCCTGCCACTAGGGCCTCCACGCTCATGCCTTGTTCGCCTCCCTGCACGTGCTACCCCGGAAAAGGAAGGAGAATTGGATTCTTAAAGTTAACGTTGTCCCCAGGGTCACACTCACTAAGCTATCTTGACTTCGCCATGTCCAGACCTGGCCTGGAGCCCCGGTACATCTTCATTGGCTACGTGGATGACAAGCAGTTTGTGCACTTCGACAGCGATGCGCAGAGTCAGAGATTGGAGCCAAGAGGTCCGTTAGTGGAGAAGTTATCGCCAGAGTATTGGGAGCAATGGACACCAACAGTCAAGATCCGCAAACATTTTGCCCCAGTTCTCCTACAGGCCACTATCAAAGAATACAACCTGAGCCAGGACGGTGAGTTACTCTAAGTCGAAGTTCACGGCCCATCCAAGTCCCCATGCTCGCTCTAGTTTCTCGGTGTCCCCGGGACCTAGATTTAGCCTTGCGGTTTCAGGACCAACGGAGATCCTCCACTAGGGAATTGAGGACTGTGACTTTGTGGTTCAGTTTAGACCCAAATCCTATTGCGGGTCGGGGCAAGGGGGGCAGAGCTAACTGCAGGGGCGGGGCCAGGCCGGATCGGCCCCTTCTCGAGGGTACAGTCGGCACGCCTTTGAGGGCCAGGATTTCATTTCTCTGACCGACGACCTGAAAACATGGAGAGTGGCTGACTCAGCGCCTCAGATCACCGGGCAAACCTGGAAGAAGACTGTTCAGGCAGAGTCCCGTGGGACTTCCCTTGAGGTGGAGTGTGTAGGGCTCCTCCTCGGCTTCCTGGAGATGGGCAAGGAGATACTGTTGCGCATAGGTACGATGGGGTCTAAGGGGCAATGGAACACTACCCTTGGACTGACTTGGGCTCAAGTCTCCCAAGAAAGGAGGAAAATGGGATCAGCTGGGATATTGCCTCTCTTTGTCTTTGGGATGGGGAAGTGCTTCCCAAAGGGGAAGAGGATTTCCAGTGTCTTTGGACCCTGAGTCTGGTGATGTTGAATCTCTCTGCCCCCACCCAGTCAGGATTCCAAGTCCATTTTTGTCAGTGAAAGACCAGGAGTCTCCTGGGCAGGTGTAATCTCATTCTAGAATTTGCCAAGGAATAAATTTCCAGATGCTGAATCTGGGCTACTCTGTTGGTACTCCTCTTCCATGCCAGTTCTCCTATGCAATGCCAGATGGTCACGTGAGTACAAGAACATTATTTTAGTAAAAACACAAAATGCATGAACTTTCCAAATCTTCCTCTCAGATCCACCAAAGGCAAATGTGATTCGTCACCCCAGACCTGAAGGGGATGTCGCCCTGAGGTGCTGGGCTCTGGGTTTCTATCCTTCGGAGATCACCCTGACCTGGCAAAGAGATGGGGAGGATCAGACCCAGGACATGGAGTTGGTGGAGACCAGACCAGCAGGGGACGGAACCTTCCAGAAGTGGGCAGCTGTAGCTGTGGTGGTGCCTTCTGGGGAGGAGCAGAGATACACATGCCACGTGGTCCATAAGGGACTGCCCAAGCCTCTCATTCTGAAATGGGGTAAGGAGGAGAATAGGCATAGAATCTGTTGCCAGAGAAACTAGAATCAAGTCTGAATACCTGAACAGGGTCAGGGCTGAAAGCTGACATCAGGCCTTCATTCTTCCTTCTTTTCCTAGAGACACCTCAGCCCACCATCCCCATTGTGGGAATCACTGCTGGTCTGATTCTTCTTGGGGTGTGGTCACTGGAGCTGTGGCTGCCACTGTGATGAGGAAGAAGAGGAGCAGAGGTAGGGAAGGGGTTGCTTTCTGAGAGTTTTTGTCTTGCTGGGAAATTCCAATCCCTCGCAAAAATGTGCCTATTTCATATTTTGTTAATATGAGGCACATATGAGGCACACATGTACATGTATGCTTACCCACTCTGGGATCATGTGTATTAACACTAGCTTTTTGGTTTCATTTTGTTGTTGGTTTTGGTTTTTGCTTTTTTTGTTTGTTTGTTTGTTTGAGACAGGTTTCTCTGTAGCTTTGGTGCCTGTCCTGGAACTTGCTTTGTAAACCAGGCTGGCCTTGAACTCTCCCGAGTGCTGGGATTAAAGGCATGCACCACCATGGCCCAGCCAACACTAGCTTTTTGTAAAGCATTTGTGAGAAGAAAGAACAGAAATTTCATATTGAGAATTTTTGGGGATTCTTATCAGCTAAGAATCAGAGGGATGCCAGCTAATCGGACAGCTTCATGAGTGCATTTGGTCCTCTTCCTGCCCACACATCTCTTCTTGCTTGCTGATCCTACTATACACTTGTAGCCAGACTTAGAAATTTGCCTGATGTCTAGTCATCAGAGGTTTCCTAGGACCTCATAATACTGTGTACTCTTGGCCATGTTTCTCATGTATGAAAAATTATATATTTATGTGCAGATAATTTTTCCAGAAATTGACTTTCCTTATTCTACTTTCACCCTTTGGCCACATATCCAAGCACTTGACTCTCTACTGAGAGTCTAGCAGGGAGGCAAAGCCCAAGCCTCTCCTTCACTTCCCCACATTCCTGCAGTTGGGAATAACATGGGTCCCCAGCTCCACAACCTGGAGGACCTGCCGGACCTTAACTCAGCAAAAGGTGACAAGGAAAACCTCAAGCTGCAGAGAATACATTTTGGCACGGATGCCATTGTCACAGTTTCCAGGAGCAGCAGGGACAGTTTTCCAAGTTACAGTGACCAGCACTGGGGCACCAGTGGTGTGATCAGGGGCACCTGGGTCCCGGGGAATTTGTGCAGATCCTAGTGTTGACAGGACTGAGGATTCCATTTCTAGCATGATGTCTCAAGCTTAGTTTTTTGGCTTTTCCCAAAACCAAGAAGCCCCAATTTCAAATATAAAAATGTCTATGTTTAAGTAAGAATATGGATTCCATTATTTCTGGCAAGAAGAAACCAGGTTGGGGAATTTTCAGATAACAACCACCCAGAGACTTTTGTTGTATGACTTGCTTACTAAATCTTCCATCTGAGACTACACCCCAGGGTGAGAACAATTTATCAGCATAAAAGCTCAGGATTGACAGCATGTCAAACTACACTTTCTTAAAGTTCTTAAAACGCCCATCTAAGACCCTTCTCCACCTTGTGTGCTGCTCTGACCACTGACATCAATAACCACAAATATTGTTCCAAAATACCCAGGTCTATTCCCAGACCCATAATTTAGATTGTGAACCATGGAGCCCAGATCTCTCTTTTTTTTTTTTTTCTTTTCACACAGGGTCTCGCACTGCATCCCAGGCAGGCTTTGAACTCACTGTGTAGCTGTGATGGCTAACCGTTGTCAACTTCACTGGGTTTAGAATCTCATAGGAAATGCATCCAGAACATACTGTGAAGGGTTTCCAAACGGGATGCACTGAAGAAGGAAAACTTACCCTGAATTTGGTTGGTACCATCCATAGCCAGACTGAATAAAACAGGAAAATTGAGAAAGTCGGATGAGAGCCAGTTTTCTACCTGATTCCCCATCAGTGGAGATGTGAGAAGTCCCAGTCAATGTCCCTAATGCCATGAGCTCTATCATACTCCTATGTCAAGGGGGTCTGTACTTCAGTTACAAACCAAAATAATCTCTTCAGGTGCTTCTGTCCGGCCTTTGCCACAACAGTGAGAAAAGTAGCAATGCAGAAACCCAGGCTGGCCTCCAGGTTCCAGCAATGTGGGGATTATAGATTTGGACTCTCACACCTGGCTCCAGATCATTTATGTAACAAGATATAATGGATACACAGCCTAGTAGTTCCTTGTCTACATCAGTCTTTCCAAGTGATCTGAACAGCAGCAGCTTCTGTCCCAAGTCTAGAATTTCAGCTCTATGTCAGACTTCCTGAATTTTGTTGCGATATCTAGAGGACTCCTGTGCACAGCAACGTCTGGGGATTCCTGGTCTATAGGCCTTAAGACATATGGCTTTTTCATGTATATGGAAGTGTTTCCCCCAGTGTTTTCTTCTAGCAGTTTCAGAATTTTGTTACATTAAATCCTTGGCCTGTTTTGAATTTAAAAAACAAAACAAAACAGGGTAATAGCAATGCAGTGTTATTTTTCTTTTTCTTTTTTGCAGTGTTATTTTTCTACTATTTACTGAAGAAGTTTGTTTTTCCAATGTATTTTTGATACCATTGTTGAAAATCAAGTACCTAGCCAGGTGGTGGTGGCGCATGCCTTTAATTCCAGCACTCGTGAGGCAGAGGCAGGTGGATCTCTGTGAGTTTGAGACCAGCCTGGTCTACAAGAGCTAGTTCCAGGACAGGCTCCAAAACCACAGAGAAACCCTGTCTCGAAAAACCAAAAAAAAAAAAAAAAAAAAAGAAAGAAAGAAAGAAAGAAAGAAAATAAAATCAAGTACCTATAAGCAGGGATTATTTCTGCATCCTCTACTTTTTTTATTGGCCAATATGCCTGTTTCTGTGCCTGTACCATGGTGATTTTGTTAATTTGAGATAGGTACTGTAATTCTTCCAGCATTGTTCTTTCTCCCGATAATTACTTTGGCAATTCAAGGTCTTTTCTCCTTACATATGAGTTTTAGCATCATTTTCTCTCATTCTTTGAAAAATGTCATTGAGATTTTTGTGGGACTTAACATTGAATTTCTAGATTGCTTTCAAATTAAAGTCATATTCAGAATATTAATTCTGTATATTCACGAACATCTTCTAGTATATATCTGTGTGTTCACAAAGGGTCTTCCAGTGCCTTCCTACATTTTTTTCTTAATTGTTTCCTGTTTGCTTGTTTCTTTGGTTATGTAGAAGACTTTGGCCCCAAAGTTTGGGCTACCAGAGTACTAGATTAGAGATGAGCCACCATGTCCAGGCTTCTTTGGTACTTACGGTTTTACTTATAGATGTCTTTAACCTCTTTATTTAGGCTTATTCCTAGGTATTTGGTGCTTTCTCATAGCAACTATGAATGAGATTGCTTTCCCAATCTTTCTCACTCTGTTCCCTGTTACTTTGCTGAAAGTATTTTATGTAATTTCAAATATAAGAACATGTCATCTATAAATAAAGATCATTTGATGTCTTCCTTTACTGGTGTCCTGGTCGTCTCTCTTACTACCCTGGCTAAGATTTCAGGAACTGCCTTGAATAAGAGCAGAGAGAATAAACCAGGCGTGGTGCATGTCTGTAATCCAACACTTGGGAGGCAGAGGCAGGCAGATCTCTGAGAGTTCAGGTCAGCCTAGTCTACGCAGTGAGTTCTAGGCCAACCAGGGCTATAGAGAACTTATCTAAGAAAAAAGGGGGGGTGGTAGAGAGAATAAACAGTCTTTATCTCATTCTGATTTTCAGGAGATGTTTTCAGTCTCCATTCCCACTTAGTATAATGTTTGCTGTGTTTGGTTTATATACAGCACTTGTTATGTTGAGATACATTCCTTCTATCCCTAGTTTCTCTGTGGCTTTGGAGCCTGTCCTGGAACTAGCTCTGTAGACCAGGCTGGTCTCGAACTCAAGAGATCCTCCTGCATCTGCCTCCCAAGTGCTGGGATTAAAGGCGCGCACCACCATCGCCCGGCCCTAGTTTCTTCAGGGCTTAAATTTACCTAAAGGATGTTGAATTTTGTCAAAGGCCTTTACTGTATCTATTGAGATGATCCTATAACTTTTTTTTTTCCCTGATTTTTGAGACGGAGTTTTTGTTGTCTGTCCTGGAACTAGCTCTTGTAGACCAAGCTGGCCTTGAACTCGCAGAGATCCGCCTGCTTCTGCCTCCGAGTGCTGGGATTAAAGGCGTGCACCACCACTGCTGGGCCCTAGAACTTATTTCTTCAGTGCATCTATTGAGACGATCCTGTGGTGTGGGAGAATGGTCTGTATTCTGTCAATTATATTTTAAATAAACGCTGATTGTCCAGTAGTCAGGCAGGAAGTATAGGCAGAACAACCAGACAGGAAGTAGAGGTGAGTCAATGAGAAAAGGAAAATTCTGGAAAGGAGGAAAGCCCATTTCTCTGCAGTCCTGACCCTAACACAGAAGAAGTAAGATATGACTGCCTCGCTGAATAAGGTACCGAGGCACGTGGCTAACATAGAAAGAATAATGTCTAATATAAGTTATAAGAGTTAATAAGAAGCCCTAGCTAATGGGCCGATCCATTTATAGCTAATGTAGACCTCTGTGTGATTTCTTCAGGACTTAATGATTGTGGGAATCGGGTAGGACAGAAAACTCAGTCAACAATCCTGTAACTTCCTTCTTTACCGCATCTATTGAGATGATCCTGTAACTTCCTTCTTTACAACTATTATTTGCCATATTACATTTGTTGACTGGCCTAGGCTGTGGTTACTTGATGTTTTGAGATGTGTGGAGGAAATTACTTTGTTCTTTGTATCATGGCAAGGAAGTCTTTGCCTTCCCCCATGTGACTGGGGTATAAAAGAACTTTAAATAATATATTTGAGGTGGATCAGGGAACATACAGAGCAGTTGGGCTAACCCTGACAATGGGTTTTTTTAAATTAACATACTACTTAATGGTACTCTGATATTGTTACTATCTAATATAATGTCCCCCTTTCATTTGTAAATTTAATTAATTTGAGGGTTTTTTCCACTGTTTTTGAGACAGAGTTTCACTATATATCCCAAGCTGGCTTGGAACTTACTATGTAGCCCAAGCTAGCCTTGAACTTCCAACAATTCCCTTGCCTCCACCTCCTGAGTACGTAGGTTTAATCATCATGCCCGGATTTACTCACTATG